AAAATGAAACCTTTATCACAAATTGGTTGAGCCCATGACTGCAACTTAATCATTCAATTGTACATAAGTCAAGTTATATTTTTATTTTGTTGGAATAAGTTCCCAGGAAAGAAAACTCATTTTAAAACTTTGGGCCATTAAGCCTTAAATGGTAGAATGTCGGTGAAATAAAAATGAACTGGGCCAAGACTTGGGAGAAACTTGGAACCCAGCCATTGTTCTACAAGTAACAACTTCGATGACATTGGGAAAATCTTCTAACCTTACTTGGTTTCAGTTTACAAATGTCAAAATGAGAGATAGGTCTAAATAAAGGCTTTCTAAAAATCTCTTGTAGTTCTAAAATCATATGAATTGTTGGAACACTGAACTTACAGTGTTCAGTGACTACTGCCATGTATATTATATTCTTTTTTTCCTAGAAATTCTCCTCTTGCTGGAAATACTCATTAAATTGTTCGTCATCAGAAATACAGAAGGAACAAGTTTTTCTCTCCTAATGACCTAGGCAAAAAATTTTCAGCATTGTGTGCTCACTACATGTCAGGTATGATTCCATTTAATCCTCAAACTAAGCCAGTGTCAGTTATTATAATTCCCATTTAATAGATGGGAATAATGAAACCAGAGGGATTAAGCAATTTTCCTAAGTTCACACAGCAGATGAGGTGTGAACATGCAGAGACTGAATTCAGGTATGTCTAATTCCAGAGAACCTGCTCTCTATCTTTATTTTTAATCATTTAATACAATTAAAATTGTATTTCATACAGTTAAACATAGTCCTATACCACCTGAAGAGCCAAGCTCTTCCCTATATACCATGGAATATGCACTGGCCAGTTAAGAATACAAAGGAACAGAGATTTGTCCTTTGCTCTACCCTTGGCTCTAGACAGAATCACTGACCCAAAGCTACTACTAGTCCTGCAAATGTATACCTTATGAATCGGAAACAATGACAGGTGATTGTTAAGTACCAAATCTTTGCCCCCAAGAGAACATAATGGACAACAAACAATTGAAACAATTTGTCAGAAGGGAAAATGCAACAGACTTGTGAAATCGCTTAGGAAAATTCAAACACTGAACTTTCAGTATGGGAATCCTGAGAAATACACATTTTAAAAGAAGTAAAACATCTTTAAAATTTCCCTTAAAAATATCTGAAGTGGATTTCATATTAGAGCATGTTATTGGACTGACCCTATTAGAAGATGCTAATAAGAACACAAAATTCCATTAAGTATTATTGAAAAAAGGTAAAAAAAAAAAAAAATTTAAACTAGGACATGCTTCCCCCTCTCACTCCCAAAGCTATAGAAACCCTGTCCCATACAAAGCTTCAAGATAAAAGGAACTTGAGTCTCCAGGGACATTCAGTTTGTTGCCATAATGGAAGCTGAGTAGAGGTCATTCATTCATTTACTTTAAAAGGTTTTAGTAACAGTGAATGAGGTCAAGAAGAACCGTTGGTTTAGGATCATTATTGGAAACATAAACCACCACCTAGCTATCCCTATTAGAAACAGGTTGATTTAATGTAAAAAAGAGATTAGTCAGAAAATAAAATTGCTAAAAGATGGGCAATGTAGCGTAAGCAAAAGATTTAAAGAAAAAAAGGTTATTTTTTTAAAAATGTAGATATTTTTCTCTGAAATATCTATAAATTTCATCTCACATATTAATGTGCATTAAGAGTTAGCTAGGTACAGTAAGCAGGAATGCAAAAATATCCTACTTTTTTAAGGACAATAAAGAAAAATATTAAAGGAAAACACTGCTGAATGGGAGAAAAAGAAGTCGAACTTCTTGGTGTTGCTAAAATTGAGAGTCTCATAAAGAAACAGACAAGTTCTTGTGGGCAGATGAGATATTTTCTGGTATTATGACATGATTTTATTTGTAAAATGTACTGATTTATGATGTTAGAAAGAATAACAGAAAACTTTTTTGTTTCTTCTTTTAATCTAATGAGTTATGTGAATCAACCTAGAAGACTATAACTCTACATAAAGTCTTTGCAAGGAAGTAATGTAGATTGAGTTCTCAATCCAATTAGAATCATGCAATTAGAGCTAAGGTTGCATTTCTAAAGAGAGAAAAACTGTTCATATAGAATTGATCCTAAGTGATTGAATAAAATTGGTGAATTTGCTAATTCTTATGGCATTTTCTCTTTGAATATATAACTACAGAGTAAAACCTACTACCACTTTTTCATCTGGAGTTGAAAGAAGATAGAAATAATAGGCCAAGAGAAATTTTAAGTAACTTGGGTCATTAGAATATGTGAATGTTTGTGCATACACAAACTTGTTCATACACTTTTTTTTTAATCGAATGACACATACTTCAAATGTAATAAAGATGTCTAAATTAACCTCTCCTTTAAAGAGAACTCAGTAAAAGAATGAGAGAAATGTTGGGGAACATCATCCTCTTGTCATTTAACACAGCCATCAAGTGTGGAAATTTGTCCTGCTCTCTTACCCCGTCAATCTAATCCATCTAGCAGATCTGTCTACCCACCTAATGCTTTGCATGCCTTTACCAACTTTTGGGGCAAGCGTGTATTTATAATTGAAACCAAAAGCTTAAAGGCAGTCTTAATTGTGGGTCGAATAACATTGCAGCCCACTATTCTACCGATAAAGAAACTGGAATGCATTGTTTTCTAAAGCTCAAAGAGACAATGGTATAAAACATGTAAGAAAATACAATCAGGATGAACAATGTAAGTTGGTGTTTATTTCTTCAAGGTCTTTAGCTCCATATTTAAGAAAGATAAGGGAAGTAGATCAATTCAAATTTTACTATGTAAGTATTTGCAGATATCAAGTAAATTTATTCTATTGTAAATTCTCATGTAAGCACTGATTATGTGTGCATTGACAAAAATAAGTTTTATAATACTATTTGTTGTGAATCTGATTTGCCTTCCACGATAGCAGATTTGATTTTTACCCTTCTTCTTCCTTGTCAGATGCTGCCAAGGAAAAGGAGGAAGGGGAAAGAAGAAAAGCGAGAGAAAACATTCTCAAAAAGAAATGTGGCAAGGATTTACATGAGCAAAAAAAAGGGATCTGTTCCACATTTTTAATCTTCTTTCTCTACACATGCCCCTATAGCGGTCCTTCCCATAACTAAACAATCTCTCAATAGACTAATTTAAATATATTGTGACTTTCATCACTATTAAGTATTTGTAAGACTGCCCCAAATCAACAATTTATAAAATAGACTTTAGAAGTATGCTTTTAGTTAATAAATACATTAAAAGCTGTGTAAATGAATTCCTTTCAGATTGTCAGTCTTGCTCAGTACTTAATTTTTGCTTGAAACATTTCCTACTTCCCATATTAATATATGTATATGTATATATATATATATGGCCATAACTGCTTTATTATCTTAGATTTTCAATTAAAAACATTTTAAATGTAGATAACCTGGTGCCATCAATTAAAACTATATTCAAAGTTAGCATATTTAGACTGAACATGAAATCGAACAAACAATTTTTTGTATTTTTTTTTTTTTAAGTAGGTTCCACGCCTAGCATGGAGCCCAACAAGGGCTCAAACTCACAACGGTGAGATCAACAGCTGAGCGGAGATCAAGAGTCCAAAGCTCAACTGACTGAGCCACCCAGGCACCTCCCCAATGAACAGTTTTAAACCACTAAATTTAATAAACCACATTCCAGATATGAACAGATGGTTAACATCACATTAGGATTTGCTGCTCATAATTACAGTTAAGGAGAGCAACGAATCCTGGTTGGATCATCTCACTGATGTTTCTCTGTCTCCCTGAAGCTATGACTAGCTCACTAAAATGTCAGGTGGACCAAGAATGAGCAAACCCTGATTGGGCTATATAATCCAGGGTAAAGAAATTAAGTATACCTGTCCCAATTAGGTAAAATGGGATAAACTTTGCTGGCAATGAAGTCTAAACATGATTAAATACACAAATGAAATAACGTAGACATGTTTGCTTCTGTCATTTATGATATTTATACTGAAAAAATATGCTGGATTCTCAAGATAGAATTTCAAAAGAATGATGAATTTTTCCTCTCTAACATCTGCTTCGAGAAGACAATGTTGCAGAAGGTGGATTCATAGCTCCATGAATTAGATTCCTTTTCTTGCTGGCAATAGCAAGTATGTATTGAGCACCTACTGTGTGCCTTGATACTCTATCCATGATTTCATTAAGTCCTCATAAATCTCTTATGAAATAGGTACTTTCGGAAAGAGAATTTTCAGAAGGGGAAAAATTTTTGTCAAAATTCACGCCCCAGCAAGTGGTGAAGACAGGACAACCCTGAAAACCCACTTTTTCCTTTTGTTATCAACATAGCTGCTTTCTTCCATCTTCATTGATGCTCCTCATCATCACACATTTCCATTTAAGCAAAAGATGCAGGTTATAGAGCCCTCACTCTTGGTCTCTCCAGGCAACATGAAGGGTGAAATTCTACTTGAACACCAAATCATTATCTTCCCTAACCTCAACCCTTTTGACACGTGGCTCTTGAGCATATAGTAAAACTGTCTTCTCTGCCATGGCTCTCTAACAAAACTTGCTGTACCTTTTTGCTTTGGTTCCCCTGCACATCCCTCACTGAGAACACTCACGGTCACATTTTAAACATTAAAGAAAGAGAAAATGAAACCTTCCTAGCGTTTCTCGGCAATAATTTCCTTTTTGCATAGGATGAAAATGACTGTCAGCTTGCTCAGATCGAAGCTCCCTGACAGTAGGGGCCCACGCCAGTCACCATTTGCAAGATTCTCATGGCATAGGAGGAAATACGGCAGGAATTAAGTAAGCCAAAAATAATTCTTATTTTGGAGGTTATTCCAGTTAGCTCATCTAAAAATTAGACTATAGATAGACAGATGATAGATAGATAGATAGATAGATAGATAGATAGATAGATAGATATTTTTTTAATTGGAAGTATGCATGAAATGATGATTTCTGACCTGGATCTGTTGCTGAAGCAAATTGATTTTGTGTTGTTGCTGCAGAAGCTGCTGCTGTTGTCTTGCAATCTGTGGAGAAATTGCACATGAAAAATTTAAAAGTATATTGTAGTCCCAGGGGGATATTACCAATGTTCTGTTGCTCCAGGTTTGATTTGACACTGATTAAGATGATGAAAATAGATGTGCCTGTGCCCCTACAGTACCAGCAATTCATCCGTAAGTAGGATCAAACAAGATATTTAGTTTTCGGAACAGTTTCTTTTGGCCTAAAACAAATGAAGCCTAAGACACTCCAACAGTGATCCAATCCAGTATGAAACGGTAGAGTGTCAGAAATCTCTCTTCCTTCCTGGCAATACGTTAAGAAGGTACGGCCTCTGGCATTTTTATCTCTTTTCTACAAAAGAAACTATTGCATCAACAGGGTACCCTGTGCTACCCTGGGAGTTTGCACTGTGGAGGCTGTATTCCTCACTGAGGTTTCAGTATTTGTTTTTGTTTTTTTGTGAATACTGCCCTCATTTTTGCCTCCCACAAACCGCTGAACAGCCAATTCCTCAGTGCACTCCATCACGGTTTCAGCTCCCATTCTCCACTAAAATGATTTGTAATAAAAGTCGCCAATCTCATTTTTAAAAATTTTTTAAGGTTTATTTGTTTATTTTGGGGGGGTAGAGTGAGGGGGGAGTGAGAGGGAGAGCATGGAGCCCAACACAGGGCTTGATCTCAAGACCGTGAGATCATGACCTGAGCCGAAATCAAGAGTCAAAGGCTTAACTGACTGAGCCACCCAGGCACCCCTCATTTTTTCAATTCTAATGTGTTTTTTAGATTTCACCTTTTGTCCTTTCATCAAAATTCAACACTCAAGTTCTCTCCCTTGATCCTGAACTTTCTTCCTTGGCTTCCAGGACAGTACATTTTCCTGGTTTTGCTCTACCCTCAAGTCTGTTCCTTCTCAGTTACCTTCAACTGCTCTGTCTAGCCCTTCAATGTCGTAGTTGTATCCCTACTCCTGAATGTATGCCAAGTACTTATGAATTTGTTTCTCTCACTTCTGCCTTTGCTTTCAGTTTCAGACCCATTTTTCCAATGACATTCTCAAAGGTACTTCATATTCAACAAGTTCAAAACTAAATTCAATTATGGTTATTTTCATGTTTTCATTTTATCTTAGGGACAGGGTTTAAAAAATCCATTTTTTTCCCCGAAGAAAGGTAGATGGTAGGAAAAGGAATATCATTCTTTTCCTTAAATCTGGTCCTTTCCTCCCACATGTCAATATTTCAGCTAATAAATCTTTTTATTAGCACTTAAGCATTTATCAAGAAACTGACCACCTCACACCCCTCCACACTTCCTCCCGTTCCAAGCCACTGTTCTCTCTTGCTGGGTTATTATAATAGTCTCCTATTGCTCTTTCTGCTTCTGCCTTTGCTCCCTACAGCCTATAATATGCCAGTATCTAGAAAGATCCTTTTATTATTTTTTTAATTTTTTTTAAAGATTTTATTTATTTGTTAACAGAGAGAGAGAGAGAGAGAGCAAGAGAGGGAACACAAGCAGGGAGAGTGGGAGAGGGAGAAGCAGGCTTCCCGCTGAGCAGGGAGCCTGATGTGGGGCTCGATCCCAGGACCCTGGGACCATGACCTGACCCGAAGGCAGATGCTTAACAACTGAGCCACCCAGGCACCCTAGAAAGATCCTTTTAAAATATAAGTTGTGTCATGTTACTCATATTTTTAAAACCCTCTGTCTCACTCAGAGCAGAAGGCAGTGTGTCCATACGATGCCTGCAAGACCCTGTATGATTTCGCCTCCTGCTACCTCTCTGGTTTCACCTTCTCCTCTGTCTCCCTTTGTTACTCCACTCTCGCCACTCTCCTCTCCTGTCTCTTGAAGACGCTAAGGATGTTCCTATCTCCCAAGGATGTACCTGCTTCTGGGCCTCTGCACTTGCTTCCCCCTCCATCTGGAACCCTCTATGCCTAGATAACTGACTGCTCATTCCCTCACCTCCTGCAAGTCTCTGCTCAAATATCCCTCTGTCAATGAGGTCTTCCCTGAGCACCCATTTTAAAAGAGCCTCTCTCTCCATCTGGCACCCTCTAATTCTCTCCTTTATTTATATCCCTTATCAACATCTTATTTGTTTACTATCTTTTCCTAATGAGAATTCAATACATTAGGAATTTTTGTCTGTTTTATTCTTTGCTATATCCCAGTAACTAGAATAGAATGTGGCATCAAATTGGTGCTCAATAGATATTTATTGAATGAAAAAATGTAGAATGGAGCTCAGAGTCCAGTGGAAAGGCTGGTCAATGAACAGATTCATTAGCATCTCTAAGGGCTATAATAGGAATATTAGAGTGCCCAGAGTAGGGACACCCTACAATGAGTAGGGAGTTTTAGGAGGAGGGTCAGAAAAGGAGTTCTCAAGAGAAGATATACCTAACCTGAATCTTAAGGAATAAGTATTAAATGCCCTTCAGAGATTTTCCTGTGTCCTGATGAAAAGATCAGTGACTACAAGAGTGGTAATTACGCATGCCAGCACTGCATGGTAGAGAAGATCTAGGGGAGTAAAATAGGCTCTAGAAACCTGACCTGAAGCTTTCACAAAGGATCTTCTCTCAGGCTTTGTAGGCATCATTGTTTAGCATCTTTCCAACACAGGAGAGAAATTCTGGAAGAACCTAATGATTTCTAAAATTCCAAGGATAATGTCAGAAAAAGTAAAAAATTCTAGAATCCTTTGATGATATGTGGGGATGGGCCAGAATGTGAAAGAGAAGAGGACTTTGCTCTCTATTAGTGATTGCTCTGAGTTTTCAGGACAAATATGCCCTTAGACCCACCAAAGTAGTGATTCTCTACAAAGAAATATCCCCATTTGACCTACAGTTTCAGAAGCTCCTAGAATTTTCTAGAATTCAGATGTTTGAAAGCATTGAGAATTATGAACAAGAAAAGAGCAGTGTTTTTCAAGACTGTCACAGATGAGCATTCTGAACTCTTATCATGGTGGTAAAGCAAGAGAAATATGGGCCATATTCAAGAACAGGTCAAATATATCTTTAAGAAAAATGATGAAGTATTTCATTAAACGTGAAAGCATCATCTTTCAAGCAGAGATGAACCACCAAGTAGGGAGGAGTAAACTGAAAGGGGGTCACTGCAAATGTAATCTGAGTATTTCTTCTTTCAACTCTGCTAGCTTACATTTTGAAAATTGTTAAGGTTTTGCAGGGATGTGTGGACACTTACCCCTGACTAAATAATGGTCTTCTTCCATTTGGGACGGTGAATGGACAGAGCCCAGAATATGGGATGGCAAAAGGGAGTTAGCCCCAGAAGAGATGTATCATGTCTGTATATAAATTCACCCTATGGCACCCTCTTTCTTCCCTTACCTTTGCTACCAATTTTAAGTAATAGTTCTTATACATGGCCTCCATTTTCCTACTACACATTTGTCAATTCTTATGCCTTATTTCTACTACTAAAGCTCCAGAGAAGCCAGAGTCTTAAAAGGCCAACAGTGAGAAACTAAATGACAAATCTAGTAGCTTTGTTCTTCTGGAACTGTTCATTTTCTTTTATTTACCAGCTATATGCCAGTATCTCCCAAGGATCTACCCTTAGTCCCTTTCCATTTTCTAATGATATCACCATATTCTAATGTAGGGCTTACAAACCTACCATTCCCTCATGAAACACTCTGGCCCCAGATATTAATATGGCTGCCTCTTGTATGTCATTTAGATCTGAGTTCAATTGCCAGGTCCAACCACCCAATCTAAGAAACATTGCTTTGCCATACCAATCAATATTTATTAAATAACTCTAATTACATTTCATCAAATAACTTATCACTGTCTAAAATCATTTTGTAAATTTCTCTTTTCCTTTGTTAATCATCTCTCTATTTCCACTAGAATTTAGGGGCTCTATCTTACTGGTTAATTGATGAAGCCTCAGAAGTTAGCACAGTGCCTGGCACATAAGAAGCACTTGATTATTATTTGTTGAATAAATGAATGAAACTTACCTACCCCAGTGGTTTAAACCACCATCTCTATGTAAATAAACTAAGAAATTTAGTTCAGCCCTCTTTTCCAAACCGTCGATTGGTATTTCTAGCTGTTTTTTACGTACCTCCAGCTGGACAACCTGACAAGAGCTCTAATTAAACACAATAAAACCACCTGTTATTCCAAATTTGCCCTCCTGACTTGACCCATCACCCAGGCTCAACATCTTTCCTCATTCTTTTGCCCAAAGAATTCAACTAATCATAATTTTCCCACCTGTTTATTCTTTTCTTCTCTTTTTCTGTGGTCATTTAGTTTAGATTCTAAACTATCTAGTTTAGATTCTCACTCCTTATTGAAGTTATTATAATAGGCATCTGACTAAACTTCCTGGGCCATAATTAATTTACTTCATTTGTTAAATCCTACTTATTCTTCAAAGCTCATACCAAACACCTGTTGAATGAATTCTTTCATGGTGTCCCTGACTGGAAATGTTCTTTTGACACGCCATGATTCTGTTTGGTACTTCTCTCATGACCTATCAGAATTTCACCTTGGTTATAATTACTTCGATGTTACATACCACTAAAGTAGTTGATAAGCTTTATCAGATCAAAGTGTTTTTGTTTGTTTGCTTCTTTTGTATTTTGTTTTTTTATTTATTTATGTGAGGTGGGAAGAAAGACTTTATTAATCTTTGTGTGCCTAGGAGAGTGTCCTATAAATAGCAGGCAAAACCATGTCTAAGGAAATTGTGTCCCTGGCTCCTACTCACCTGTTCTTGTTGCTGTTTGGCCAACTCCATTTGCTGGCGTTGTTTCTCGATCTGAGATGCAGCCAGTTTCTTCTGCTCATCATGGGCAGCCAGTAGCTGCTCTCGCAGACTGGTCAGCTGATTGATCATACCCATGAGCTGCCTCTCCTTCTCAGCTAGGCTTTCGGGAGTCCCTGAAAATAACATGGCAATAAAACATATAAGAAAAGGGAAATGAGAAGAGTGATTATTCAGTGACAATGATTCTGTTGTACGGATAACACACAAACATAGGCTTACTTTCTTTCAGATTTTTTAACTCCACAGTGAAAAGCGATGGGTATTTCCCCCTTACAAAATATCAGAATGAACAAATATTTTGATTGTTTTTTATGTATGACAAGTAATAATCCATAGTTTTTAACTTTACAAGCAAATCAAAAAATGGTGAGGTGAGCATCTACTATTTTAATGTTCTATGCTGGGATCTGACGAAAAATAAAAAGAAGCCTAAAGCACAGCTCCTTGCCCTAAGTAGTTTTTAATCAAATTAAGGAGGCAAGACAAAACATGAACATTTAATAACCATAATTATTAGGAGATCAAGTTATTATTATCAGTAATATGATTCTTTTTCAAAAAAAGAATCTTGAAGAATTAGAACCAAGGAATTCTACATTAAAAAGGGAAAAAAATCTATTAGCCAATCAAATTTTAGACAGTTTTCTCATATGCCACTCAGAGGCTTTCTTCAAAAATAGAATATAACTAGCAGGGAAAATATTCAAGATTGAGAATATAAATTCAGGCTATCATGAAATTATGAAATATGGTTGAAAAACTAAGAGATCACATTATAGTCACCAAAGATTATAGTTAAATTCAGCCCTTGGAGAAGAAGTCGCAGCAGTCATTTATGATAAATAATATGCTCAGGACATTTAAAACATGCTATGAATCTTCTTTGTTAGGTTAAAATACTTATTTGGTACACCAAAAATGTGAGAAGTTCACTGAAATAGGAACAATATCACTTTTAATTGTTCTTTTAAAATTCACCGGATAGACAAGACCCCTATGGTAAAGCACTCACAGCAGGAGAGAACATACTTTTTAATTACAATTTTCACTTTAATATAAGACACTAAGCACTATTTTAATAATGCATTTGCCACCTGTATATGTAATTAGATGGAAGGATCTGTTATAACACAGTCACCCTTCCCCATCCCACTGTATTTCTCTCTAACAATTTATGCTGAAAAAGCATGTGCTTTTTAGGAACTAGTAGCTATAGTTAGTGGCTTATAATTTTCACTGGCCCATTTGGAATGGAAATAAAGTTTCTAATGTAATTTAGATAGGCTAGAGAATAAATATCTAGAAAAGAAATTATGCGTGAATAAAAGTCAAGAATCATGCAATGTATTATTATGAATACCTAGCATTATTCAGGGCAGGTGCCCAATAAATTATTGCTAATAATTTACTATACTTCAGATATTTGGATTCAATTGAACAGAAGAACACTTATTCTAAGAATAACAACAATATGATTGTTGCAATTAAAATTCTAATAATAAATAATCTAAATATATACTGGGAAGATTTTAAAGAAAATATCAAGTGATGGTACAATGTACATCTTCACACATCATTAGTAACCACATTTCTAGCAATACATACTAAGAAAAGTAATACATATCAGGCCTTGTAATCCTCATTATCTTCAAAAGGATAGTTTCACTTATAAAAATCTAGCCCATGGGCACCTGGGTGACTCAGTCAATTAAGCATCCAACTCTTGATTTTGGCTTAGGTCATGATCTCAGCGTTGCAAGATTGATTGCGCCCTGTGTCAGGCTCTGTGCTGGGTGTGGAGCCTGCTTAAGATTCTCTCTCTCCCTCTCCCCTAGTCCCTTACCCTTCTTCCTCCCTCTTTAAAAAAAAAAAATCTTCTTTATCCATTCATCTGTCGATGGATATCTTGGCTCTTTCCATAGTTGGCTATTGTGGACATTGCTGCTATAAACATCGGGGTGCACGTACCCCTTCGGATCACTACATTTGTATCTTTTGGGTAAATACCCAGTAGTGCAATTGCTGAGTCATATGGTAGCTCTATTTTCAACTTTTTGAGGAACCTCCATACTGTTTTCAAGAGTGGCTGCCCCAGCTTGCATTCCCACCAACAGTGTAAAAAGCTTTTGCACAGCAAAAGAAACAGTCAACAAAACCAAAAGACAACCGACAGAATGGGAGAAGATATTTGCTAATGACATATCAGATAAATGGCTAGTATTCAAAATCTATAAAGAACTTATCAAACTCAACACCCAAAGAACAAATAATCCAATCAAGAAATGGGCAGAAGACATGAACAGACATTTTTCCAAAGAAGACATCCAAATGGCCAACAGACACATGAAAAAGTGCTCAACATCGCTCAGCATCAGGGAAATCCAAATCAAAACCTCAATGAGATACCACCCCACACCAGTCAGAATGGCTAAAATTAACAAGTCAGGAAATGACAGATGTAGGCGGGGATGTGGAGAAAGGGGAACCCTGAGCGCTGTGAATTGTGTAAGACTGATGAATCACAGACCTGTACCTCTGAAACAAATAATACATTATATGTTAAAAAAAAAAAGAAGAAGATAATAGGAAGGGTAAAATGAAGGGGGGGAATTGGAAGGGGAGACGAACCATGAGAGACTATGGACTCTCAGAAACAAACTGAGGGTTCTAGAGGGGAAGGGGTGGGGGGATGGGTTAGCCTGGTGATGGGTATTAAAGAGGGCACGTATTGAATGGAGCACTGGGTGTTATATGCAAACAATGAATCATGGAACACTACATCAAAAACTAATGATGTAATGTATGGTGATTAACATAACATAATAAAATTAAAAAAAAAACTAGCCCAAGAAAACTACAAGAAATGAAGATAAATATTTAAAAATGTTTTAAGTGAAATATTAGAAACAATCTCAATGTCAAATGGGAATAATCAAATAATTATGGAAAATCCAGATTGTATTTTTCCCCCATGAAAAAACTATTTTTTAAGAGTATTTAATGGTATGGGAACTTGTTCATGATATAAAGCTAGGTGAAAAAACTGGGTAGTAATGAAACATTTGTGAAAAGGCAACCTACTGAATGGGAGAGAATGATATATCTTATAAAAGGTTAATATCTGAAATAAATAAAGAGCTCAGACAACTCAATAGCAAACAAAAAATTAAATTCAATCCAATTAAAAAATGGGCAGAGAATATAAATATTTTTCCAGAGAAGACACACTAAAGGCCAGCAGGTACATGAAGAGATTCTCAGCATCACTAATCATCAGGGAAATGCAACTCAAAACTACACACACCAAAAAAAAACCCACAATGAGATTTCACCTCACACCTGACAGAATGGCTATTAACTAAGAGAAGAAATAACAAGCATTGGCAAGAATGTGGAAAGAAAGGGGACTTTTGTGCACTGTTGGTGGGAATGTAAATTTATGCAGCTATTATGGAAAATAGTATGAATGTTTCCCAAAAAATTAAAAACAGAACTATCATATGATCCAGCAATTCCACTTCTGGGTATTTATTCAAAGGAAATGAACACACTGGCTTGATATAGGAATATCAATATCAGTATCATTGATATATGAACCCCCATGTATAGCAGCATTTTTTACATTGGCCATGATATAAAAACAGCCTATGTCCATTGATGGATGAATGGATAAAGAAGATGTAATGTACACACACACACACACAAATATTATTCAGTGATAAATAAAAGAATAAAATCTTGCCATTTGTGACAATACAAATAGACCTTATGGACATTATACTAAGTGAAATAGGTCAGACAAAGACAAACACCATATGATCTCAATTATATGTGGTATCTGAAAAAAAAAGAGAGAGAGAAACAAAAATCCAATCTCATAAATTCAGGAAGAGATTGGTAGTTGCTAAAGGTAGGGATAAGGGGTGGGTGAAATAGGTGAAAGGGGTCAAAAGTACAAACTTCCAGCAAAAAATAAATAAATAATGGGAATGTCATGTACAGCATAGTGACTATAGTTAATAATACTGTCCTGCATATTTGAAAGTTGCTAAGAAAGTAGGTCTTAAAAGTTCTCAACACAAGAAAAAAATTTTGGAATTGTGTTTGTTGATGGATGTTAATCAGATTTACTGTGATTATTTCACAATTATACACAAATATTGAATATTGAATTGTACCCCAGAAACTAATATGATATTGTATGTCAGTTAAACATCAATTTAAAAAAAAGAAAGAAAACACTTGTATAAAAATCTAAAGTATGCACATATCTATATTTATAGAAAAAAGACTGGAAGAATATTTATTTATGTATTAATAGTGGCTATTTCTAGGTGATGGAATTATAAGCCATTTTAATATTTTTATACTTTTAAAGAGCATTTTCTATAATGTTCTTATTATTTACATACTTAGAAAAATATATTTCATGTATAACATGTGGAAATATAACTTAAAATTTTAAGGTGACATTATCCATTTACATAACTGGTGTAATACCAATGTGTAAAGAAATATACTTGTTTGTTGAGTATAAGCAAATATCATTTTGGCATTCAGTATATGAAAGATTAACAAAATCCTCTTGTCTTCACTTATTTATATTTCAATGATTCTCAGATACACACTTTGTATATTTTAAACCCTCCGAGTCTTACAATGAATACTGTCTCAGAGTCAATGAAATATTAAGGTTTATGCCAACCCTGAGTTTGTCCTCCAGCCTTAGTCACTTACTTGTAGATGCAGAACAGGTATCTCTGAGTATAGATCTCACTTTTAAAATTCAACATGTATAAGGTGGGGTTCTGCATTTTTCTCATTTTTTAAAGCGTTATCACTCAATCAACACTCTAAGTTAGAAATATTAACAACACCCTCAATTCTCTTCTCAACTACGCATCCTCTTGAATGCATTATATCAACAAATCATGATAATTTTTTCTCAAAATAGCTTTGTTTCAGTTTTAATTTTAATTAGTCAAATGTATTTCTGTAATATTATGATATTCACATGAGTAAATAGTCAGTAATTAGAAAAGGGTATGCAGTGAAAGATCTCCTCTGAATACTGTTCCTTCAGAGATAACTACAATTATTATTATTATCCTAC